TCCACCCGATCCCAGAGGTAGTCCGGCTAGTACAGACTATTTTTCTGACGAGGCTTATGCTATCCTTATGAAGAAACGAGAAGAGTCTTTAGCTGCTGGTGCAACCTTGTATAATGATAATTGCGCTGCTTCTTGGCGAAAACTTGATACTGAAATCCGAGATATGTCGGATAGTGGGTACGGGAGAATCCTCAGACTTCCTTTTTATGTCCACTGGCAATTCTGGCTGATTTTTTCCGAGTATTCGTAGGGAGGGTTGGGATATATCGAACGATGATATAGGCCTAAAGCCTTTTTCAAGAATCTATACCGGAGCTATGAGTCCCATGAGAACGCCTTCCCCACCCCCGAAAGGTAACAATTTTCTATAGGCCCCAGTTGCATTTTGACCTGGTTTTCTAACCTTGCAATCTGAGTACGCAGCCTCAGCTGTGCCTGGCAGTCTTGATCCTGGCGGATCATTTTTCTCACTGCTTGAAGAATATGACCCATCGCCTATCAAATATTCAACCTCACTTGGGAAATCTGGTACTTATAGGGAGGCCACTCTTTCACTTTCTACCGAGAAGAGGGATGTGAACCGAGAGAAGCAACAGGGCGTCACTGAGACGATGGGAAGCCTAAATACTAGCGCATTGTACGCTCGGGGAGCTTCTCCAGGCCCCTTAAAAAGCCAAACTGATGATAATGACAATACTCCTAAAAAACCGAGCTCTGGCGAACGAATAGCAAACGATCATTTTTCTGAAGTTGATACGGAGCTGAGTATCACAAGCGATCTTTATGATAAAAAGAATCTCGAGGATTCTAGCGGTAATACAATTGGTATTTCCCTGAGGGGGGAAGATAACTCAGGTCCTCGACAGAAACTCCAGGCAGTACCGAACTGTGATGCGAGCTCCTCTGAATCTACCACAACCCTCGATTCTTCAAACTTTTCCCACCTTCAGGCATTGGTTGCCCCCTCAGCTAGCAACGCCACATCTAGAGAGTCCTTGTTAAGTTATGGACTCCAGAATTCGAACCTTCGCGAGGGGAATTTCTATACTCCTTCAGAAATAGGAGCATTGGAAGAGTCAGCAAACCTTTTATCTTCAGTCCAAGATTACGAACCTTCCCCGCCTACAGATGCCTCCTCTGTTTACTCCTCAGAACACACGTCTACGCCTGGATTCGTAGGGATGGATGGAGGTCCTGTTAATCCAACGTTCCCCTCTCCGATACCACAGAGAAATGTCCCCGACCAGACCCAAAACCCCTACCTAGCACTAGACACCAGATCACAAAAAAAGACTCCATCGGGGCCGATTTTCTATCCACCCGCCGGAAGGACAAGGATCCTGGACATTGGAAATATCCATAGTCTATATCCTGATCGGTTTCCACATTCGCTCCAAAAGTTGAGACGAGTTACAGACCACGGCGTCTCGGGGAAACATCTGGGTAATAAAGACAAAGGGGGCGAAAACTCTAAGAATATACAGGCTCAGCTAAGAAGAAGTTCTTATGGAGCTGTTACCGCAAGGGTGGGAGGCAGCCGTCCAACATCCCCGGATACTTCGCACGAGGAGCACTTTAATCAGTCAGATACCGGCACCCTACAAACCGCGAGTTACGGTCTCAACCCTCAATACTTTCCAGGGATTGAAGGTCCCCAGTGCAATCCTTCTTCCAAGGATGATAGTAAGGCGATTTCAGCCACCCCCGCAAATCAATTCACACCCGCGAGGAGGTTGAAATCGAGTATTTCACTAGGTGGCAGGATTCGAGGGCAAATCCTCCGTAAAGGGGACGTTGACGCGCGCCGCAGGGCTTCAACGAACAATCTAGGAAATGGTACAACACCTGGCGCCGAGATCGTTGATGAAAACCGTGATAGCAAGAGCAGAGTTTTTGGGCGCAGGCTAAATATGAGCCAATCTCTGTCGAAGCTGAAGAATAAGATGCACCCGATGGGTGGACTCAAACACGAAATGAATAACAAGATTTTTGTCGGCACTGCGGTCTACCACCTGTCTTCTCCTATACCCGGGGGAGCTTTCAAAGATGAAGATAAAGGGAGGTTGAGGTTGGAAAGTGATTCGGAAAATGAGATGGAGGAAGGAATGAAGTGTTCAATGGGGACAGACAAGACTTCGGAGGGGGTTTTAGGGAAGAGGGCCGATAACAAGCCAATAGAGTTGGCTTCGGACGGTTTAGGTGATAAGGTTTCGTTCATTGAAGCAATTCCAGAGCGGGGTCTCACTGGCTACGAGGATTGTGTTATGCTGCCATTTTCTCTTACAAGCTCCGAAACTCTGGGAGTAACGCAGTCTCGAGAGGAACTTGTGGAGCGAGTCCCCTCAACTAAGCACTTAAGTGGTCACAAAGAGAACCGGTTAAATGAATCTCCAGATGTTTAGCATGCAGATTTAAGCAGAGATTGAGGCATGCTCACCATTACACATTATCTGATAACTCAGATACTCATGAAACAACATTTTACCAGATTGCAAATGGCCGCTGATGTTCACGAAGAGTTTCCTGGCTATAATGATACAGTCAGGACTGAGAGTTCAAGGTGTTTACTTTGTTGCTCATCACCACAATTACCCCCGCATGATAATTGCGGGTACGTACTGCATCTATCATTCTTTCAGATAGATGATCTTGCTTTGTTCTTAACCTTATACGGCTTTTTCCTTGCTGATTTCATTTCATCATTGGCGGGTGACTAAGCGAGGTGCAGGTGCTGGTTATACTGTTCCTTCAGTTTAGGTAGCTTAGCACCCAAGATTGAGGAGTGATGGAATGGGCATGTTGCTAATGGGTAGTAAGATAGAATAGTAGTAGTCTAAGCCAATATGGGGCTGACCCGATTGTCTCTTTTATCTTGCTTGTCTTTGTCTCTTCTTCCGGGTGGGTGAGGTTATGGGGTGCTGTGTTTGACTAGTGCGAGGAATAGACCGCCAGTTCTTGGGTACAGGTAGACTGACTTCTGGTTGACTATTGACTAAGATGAGAACGTAGAATTTCTGTCATACATCAATCGTGGGTCAGATTTACTTGCCTCTTTTTTTTCTCTTTTTTTTCTCTTCTACTCTCTTATATCAAAGTCATACCTTAGGCCGAGGGGGGGGATATTGTTGCCGCGCTCTGGCCGTCTCGTAATGGCAAAATTTTGCACTGTTGAACCCATCCTTTTATGATATCAGGGAAATCATGGATTCGGGTTCCCCCTCTAGATGCCCAAATTCCCCGCTCAAGTCACACAGCCGGACGTGATTGAATCCGGGAACTGACGGAGAAAATGTAGGGGCGTTTCCAGGAACTCGGGGCACACGCCCAAGGTCAAACAACCAGCGTGCCTACCGCGTTCCAACAAAGGCCCACGCTCTCGAGACTGGCGTTGCCGAGTAATTCATATAGTAGTGTAAAGATAGCCCGGGACAGCTGTCATCCCGCTACCCATCCGTGGTGGACACGACCCCACCGCCGCAACACCAAGAGGCCACAAGGTTTGGCATATTGTCAAGCCACTGCGCACTGTGCACGCGCTGTACAAGTACTGTACCTCCGCCGCACGATACAAAGACACCGTACCGCCCCCGCACCCCCCACGAGTGAGAACCCATGCAGCCCAACCCCAATCACATACCAAAATTAAGACTCCCATCTCACCTCACCACCGCGTTCCTAGTTCGCGAAAGGGGTGTTTAAAACAGAAGCAACGCCAATTCGGTTACCGGTACCTGCACGCGCGCCTATATGTGTGTACGAGTAGCCAGATGGGTGGACGGTCCGCTCGTCAAGTGGGGGTCGTCTGGCAGTGATGGTAATCGTACAGTACAGTACGAGTAAGTTGATCCCGTGTATGACAAAATAAAAAAATTGGTTAAATTGGAAGTCGGGGCGCCTAGCGGCGGGGTAAAATAAAAAAAAAAAAACAGGATCTTCTTCCTCTCATTCAACTATTTTTTTCTCCTTTTACGCTGTACCGTACTGTAAAGCACTTCTCAGACACAAGTATGATACAGTATTTGTGATCTCGACAAATTGGATTAATTATTTCTTCCCGAAAGAAAAAGCACCACTGCATTAAATATGAAGGTGTGATGGCTATAATAATACTCTATTTACCTCAAAAAATACCACCGGTACGAGTATAGTACAGTACTAGCACAGTACTGGTAGGACCATCCGCCATATTATGCATAACACCAGCGAGCGGCTCAAAAACAAAAACAACTAAGAACCTTACCATACAAGTTACTATACTCGTAATTTTCTGACGTTTGTGAACACAACTACTATTGCATATGGGCAAAAAATCGGCCGGAGCCCCAAGATTTTGGTGGTATGCAATAGCAGTCGTGTTCACAAACGTCAGAAAATTACGAGTACCGATACTCCCCGAAAAACCTAAAAAGATTATTGGTAGGTACGACTAAAGGCAACTCACCCACCCACCCCCACCGGGCACTGAAACCTGCGAACCACAGCGTCGGGCTCGGGTCTAAACCTACAGTACCGTATTTACGAGCACCGGTGCCCGGACAATCCACTACGGTAAAATCTCGTGAGATCCACTATCTCCACTCCGACGAAGCGCTAGCTTGGGAGGGGATGGGGACTACTAAATGCGGTATCAAGGGATCCTTCAAACCCCATTAACTGGCGCAAGGTTGTGCTTAACTTCATAAGCTGTACCGGTATTGTACAAGTCTTAGTCGCGGAGATTGGTAATGGCCGGAGATAGTGGATCTCACGAGATTTTACCATATCTCCGTCAGGCCTGTCAATGAGGTCCAGTACTGATAGTTTCACCCCGCTCAAGCTATACCATGTTAGGTAGACACTAATCACCCTTGGGGGTTTTTTGTCACTGGTTGCGGAGATTAGCAGCCTGACGGAGATAGTGGATTGTCTGAGGAAGTGCCGGTACGGTATTTGCAAGTGGACTGCATACTGCGCATATATATACTCTAGTCGCAGGATTGGAGTACTCTAGCAGAAAGTGAAAATCCCACCATACATCAGTGGAGACATTCAGACCACCACCAAAACACCTTCCCGAGTCACCAGTTCATCCCTAACCAAGCCATGCCCGTCTTAGAATTCGCAATCTACACCCTGCGCCCCCCACACACCCCCGCCTCCCCCACGGTGAGGTCCCTCCTCAGCAACGCCCTAGCGGCCCTAAACTCCGCCTCCGGCCACTCCTTCATCCTCATGAAACAGGTCGAGTCCCCAAATACAATCTACCTCGTCGGCACCTGGGACAGCATCTCGGCGCACAACTCGTTCCTTGCCTCCGCCGAGAACCAAAAACTCCTCGCGGATGCGAAGGACGTGCTCAACGTGGATGCCATGTACCATGCTGAGATGGATGGGAGCGTGGTTCCGCTGGCGGCACCAGTGGTGGGTGTTGGCAGGCATCATGTTAAGCGAGGTATGAAGGAGGGGTTTGAGGACTGCTTTGGAAGGGTTAGGGGGGTGTTGAGGGGGTTTACGGGGGGGTGGGAGGTTGCGGGGGGATGGAGGGTTGATGAGGAGGAGGGGAAGGGGGAGTGGTTGTTGTTTACTGGGTGGGAGAGCGTGGCGCAGCATGAAGAGTTTGGGAGGTCGGAGAAGTTTAAAGAGTATGCGGAGATTAAGGGGTTTTTGGAGGGGTTTGAGGTTAGGCATGCTGTTAAGTATGAGGCTTGAAAGGGTGAGCCGGAAGGTTTGACGTACCAGTATCAGACTATTGCTACTGATAGTGGTTGCATACGATATATTTATGATTAGCCAGTCATATCTCGTCATTTTGAGCACCAAGAGAGAAACAGCCATTGCTTATGTTTGTTATATTTAAACTTAATATTAGACCAACGCCTGAAGGTACTTTAAGTTGGGTGTAATGACGGCAGCTCTCGACAAGCAAAATTCTCACCTTCTCCCTCATACAGGATGCATCCATATGAGCCTCTTATGCCCCTAATACCCACCACCCTCCCCAAACCCCTCCGGTAACCCCATGCCAGGATCAACAGCGCCACACCCCGAGCCCCAACACCGACCAATCCAAGTCCGCCGCCCCGTGGCGACCACATGACTAACCATACAACCCAAGACCGCTTATCATACATCAATTGGCGGGGTTATGTTTGTTACCATCCCGGTGATAGCGCTGTACTTTAACGGGATTGATGGCCGTCATTATCTATATACTGAGCACTGTACGCTGTTGCTTTGATCCTGTTCGTCGGGGGCTGATGTAGTTGAGATTGCGCTGGCTACCGTTACTTGCAACAAGTGCTTCAAAGCCGACGTATTCTTGCTCTTGTTCGTTCCCGAAGCGTAATGCGTTGGAGCAATCAGCTTTGCGCTAGGCGGGGTTTGGTAGAAGTGAGAGTGGCATGCACGCCTAGAGTTTCAAGCTATTATAAAGTTTAAGCATATAATTCCCGGCGGAAAGCACATTGACTGCGGAAGTCAGCGCTAATGCGATGGCGCTACTGTGCTTGTCCTCTCTCCTGTTTTGTTTTCTTCTTACCATATCTGAGTAATGTAATAACCGTGAAGTTGGAGGAATGAGTTCGATTCAAGGGTGCGGTAGCTTTATCAGCATGAAGGGTGGAGAGAGGACTTAAGCCACTCACTCAGTTGAACAATAATTCCGAGGAACATTGTAAGCCGTGCATTGAGTCCCGTAGGATAAGAAAAACTCCATATTGATATCCGCTAACCCGCGATGCTAAATCTACACATTGTAGCCAATCATAAAATAATCCATAAACACCACCTCCCTACAAGCCTTCCCCGTAGATCATTAGAAGCGAGAGGGGGAAAAAGGTCACGCTATCTCACCCATTAATGTCACCCATAAATGGCAAAAGGAGAGAAAGAATAGTAACAATCACAGAGAGCCAGTCGGTACTGATGGGAACGCTCCGTTGCGTAATCGATCTTGGTTTAACTTTGCTAGCTGGACCTGCCGATAGCGGCGAACACGGGATTCGAAGACTATTCTGTTACGATCCTAGGATTAGCGCAACCACTGGTGCCAGCGTGAGAAGTTTGGGTAGGGCCCTAAGTTACTTATGCAATGTAAAAATCCTCGGTTCCTCATCCTTTTTCTTCTTCTCTTCCTCTTCTTTCTCCTTCTCCTTCTTCACCTCCACCTCCTTCTCCTTCTCCTTCTCCTTCTCCTCTTCCTTCTTCTTTTTCTCTTCCTCCCCTTCCTTCTTTTGATCCTTCCCCTTCCCCTTCCCCTCCTTCCTCTTGCTCTCCTTCTCCAAAAACTCCTTCTTAACCCTCTCAACCTCCACTTCTAACTCCTTCTTCTCCCTCGCCTTCCGCGCCCCCTCCGTCTCCTCCTGTGTCGCTGCCACAACCGCGGTAGCAAAGCCCCGGTCCCGCGTGTGCGAGAGGCACACGTAGAAGAAATCCTTCTGGTCCGGTGTTATCAGGACTTGCGGAGTGTGTTTGTAGCATATCGTACAGGGTTTTGATGAGGCCTTGGGCTACTCGTTAGTTTTTGCCTAGGGAGGGGAACACGGGAGGGGGGGAAGCTTACGTCGGCGACTTTGCGGAGGTGGTAGGTGTTTTGGAAGGGGGTTGTCATTCGACTGCGTTATTATGGGGAGCTTAGTGGTGGTGGTAGATATGGAGCGGAGGGGTTAGGGGGGGGGAGGGGACTCGGAGGGGGTGAAGCGTGGATGGTGTTGTGGTACGAGCAATCGTGGTTGAAATTGGGTTTTTGAGGCTGAGTTCGATGTGGTCCGTGCGTTGCGAGGGACAGGAAGGATTAGCGTTGGTGCGAGCCGGCGAGTTCGCGAGCGGTAAGGGATATGCTGGGAATGCTGAGTGGAGTCCGATATCTGCGCCCTGTGCTTCCCCGTTCCTGGGTTAAAATTTTCCGGGAAACCCGGGCAGGTGTACTTGTACTGTACAGGGAATATGGAATCATAATGAGCTCTAGTCAATGGTAATACGTTTCAAAGTTCCCGGCAACTATCATTCATAATATTTTATACGGTATTCATAGTACGAGAACTTTTGGAGGGTGAATGTGCGCAAATGGCCCCAAAATTAATTTTGAGTAGGGAAATTGAGGTTCTAAACCAGCTTTAAACTGTTAGGGCCTCTCTACTGTGACCAACAGCCGGTTGAAAAAAATCTGCCGTTGAAGGGTCCTAATGTACCCGCCCACCTTCCCAAGATTTTGACACCGGATCAAAAGTTACTCGACCGACAAGATTGTACTAATCCAAGCCCAAGAACTTCCAACTATCAAAAACAGGAGATGAAGAAGACTTTCTACTTACTGCCGTATTCAAGCTATACACCACCAAGTCAATTACCAACTGCCCAAGGCATATCACGCCGCAATCGCAAAACTTCCACAGTGATCTGATCATATCTTTCATAATATCATAACTAGAGCATGCTCAACCAAACCCCTCTACTCTCAAGTGCTTTAAAATGAAAAGAAAACTCCCCCCAAATCCATGAACCCACATAACTTTACAATGCTAAATTTATTGCTACCCGCCGAGGAAAGGAAAAGAAAAGAAAAAGAAAAGAAAAAACATAAGAAACCGAAATAGAGCCTATAAATAAAAGAGGGAGAACAAGAAAAAAGTATGATAGAAAAGCCTGAAATGTCCACAAACGCGCAGACCCCCATATATAACAGAATACAATATCAACGCAAAGCTACCCAGTACTCCCGCCCAACGGATAGACCGACCATTTCCAGTCAACAAGCCATAAACAGACTTGGGGGTTGGAGAGATTATTGTGGAATTTACCTCTAGTTCCTTTGTTTCCGTTATCAGAAAAGTAGGCAGAAAAAAGAGAAAGAAATACAATATAATAGCAAAAATAACAAGCAGAAAAAGGAAGAAGGTAGGAAAAGGTAAACATTAAAGGCACGAAAAAGGGGAAATGATGAAATGACGAATCAAGAACCCAGTGGTGACGCCGTACTATAGATATGCTTTAGTATACTGAGTCGAAAAGCCGTTATCAGTGGAGGCGCTGATGCTCTTCCCCGGATTCCGCTTTCCAGCGACGGAGTTTCCCAGACACAACTATATGTTTTACGCGGTCAGCCATCAAGCCAGGGAATATGATATGAGAAGGGAAAACAGACTTTCATATGTGATTAGAGTCATGGCGCTAGCGGGAACCGCACGGAGCATATTCGTTCCCATACCAGCGTAAAATGCCCTCCAACCTTCCTCCCGATATACCGTCCTGGCACTATGGATGATGCCGCGATAGCGAGGGCGCGTGTCCCCATCGCTATGGGTTACCTTTTGTGTCTGAAGCCTTGTGCGTAGCACTTCGTGCGGATATGTTGCTGAGCTAGCGCATATTTTACTTAGACAGCTAGCAGCGAGAATACTCCAGAAATGTGTGAAACCATTTGAACCCCTCTCTAGATGTTCCCTTCCGATGAAGAACCCCTTGAAAGCCTCGTAGAGTGGGAATTGCACAGCTACATGGGAGAGTCCTAACAATGCTGGTGCGAGTCCCGAGTAGAATGACCCGATACCTTCATGAAGGTACATCTTGCGTGCGGCATCGAGAGTGGAGGTGTAATGATAGGGAATCTTGACATATGCTGATGAAGTGTTTGAGATGGGGGAGTATTGCGAAGAAGAGTTGGCAACGTTTGCATTTTGCGACATGAGACGGGTCTTGATTACCCATATCGGATTTGTGACGAGCGTTGACGAAGTACCGGCCACCATTGCAGATAGGATATGGGTGAGCCAACTTGCACCTCCGAATTCTTCATGTCGGTTAGGCTCCGAACGTGAATATAGAGGCCACATACTCTGCCAAGCAGCAAATAAACAAGGCCAAACTTACGATCTGCAATAACGACTTTTGACTTCTCGTAGACGGTGAAATAGACTGTCCATGTAGGAAGATATCCCAGAATCAAGGGCCCCAATCCACGATACATTCCCCTAACGCCCTCTTCCGCCCAAATTGTCCTAGCTGTTCCCATAAGTCCCCTATAAGCAAGAACCCTTTCTCCCATCGTCGCCCGATCAACCATTCCCCTACCCATTTTGACCCCTCCAACACTCCCCACGCCATGTGCATGCGTCGCCAGTCTCCTGCGCATGGACGAGAATCCCCCTTGGGCCTGTAACTTTGTCTTGATAACATCCAGTGGGCAGACGAGTATCCCAGAAGCTAGCCCTGCTGTAGCGCCCGAGATGGCGGAAATAAGAGGATCGGTAAGTCGAGCGGGAACTAAAAGTGGGTAGATACCGGTGTGTTGAATGGGATTACCTGATGTCGAGTCCTCCGCTTTGGTGGAAGATATTGGCGGAGCCATTGGTAAGGCTGCTTTATCGTTGTTTCCTGGGTCTTGTCGCCGGATGCGAGCGAGAGGGGAGGAAAATAGAGGGGGTGCTTCCTTCCCCTTGTATTTCCTTTTTTCCCCTTCTTGGTTACAAGGAATCACAAAATTACCAAAAGGTTGCAACAATTTTTTCTGCTTGAATGCCCAGATGACTGAAGGAAATGTAAGGAAAATGGAAAAAGGAAAGAAAAAAAGTAGGGTCGGAAGGAAATATTTGTTTGTCGTTGATTTAGCAAAGTTGGTAGTAGGCAAGGTATCGTGGCAAGGCGGTTCGTTTGTAACTTATGGGGAGAAGCTGGGGTTACCTTATGCAACTCAAAAAGAAACTTTTTTTTCTTTTGTTTTGGCACCCCCAAATACCGTACCCCACACAACCGGATCCAGATCGTACCCAGAGCGTGAAAAGGAAGATAAAAAAAGCAATCACAAGCAGCGACTAATTCAGCTTTGTCGTCGATTTGCCGGAGGTGAGGTGAGGGGGAAAAAATGGGGGGGAACACGAAATTGCTTGATGATAGTGTAGCAGCACGATGCGGTACCTGTTGCAGCGTTGGTGAGCTGTGAAGAAGAGGCTGGCAGGATTGTTTTTTTTATTTTTTATCTTTTTTAAGTTTGTCAAGCGGAAGGGTAAAGAAGATGGGAAGAGAGCGGATTGGAGGTGAAGAGGGGGCAAGGCGGGGATGAAAGTGTTGATTCTGGCAGGTACCGAACAGGTACGGGAAGATCAGACGGCTCTGATACAAGGCAGCGGAAGCAGACGAGAAAGAAGAAAGAAGAAAAAATAGAAGGCTTTGGGGCAGTTGAAGAGATGACAGGTGCTAAAGGAATACCGGCAGAATGTGATAGAGAGGAGAGAGGCCTTCACACGAGGAATTGATGTTGTACTGTATTGTATTGTATTGTACGAGTATTGAATCAACCTTTACACGCACCTCACTCAAGTCGTTGTGCGGGCATGAATTCCTTCTCCGCATGAGCTTTCCCGCTCCAAGTCCCAATCGGGCCCAGGAGCACGGTAAGAACTCGGTTCTGATCTTGCTAACACCGGTCCCATCAATCCAGAACGTCATGACACTCGGGAAGATACCGGTATCGTATCGGAAAACACCCCTCCACCCCCAAGAAGATAAGATTAGATCATCTGTTGGAACAAGACCTTTCTTTTTCTCCTTTCTTTTTCCTTTCCAGCTTTTCAATGACCACATTTACCGTCATCCGTTCCGTATTCTCCCACCAATCCACCCCACCCCGTTACTTGACGCCACTTCCTCTAATTTCAAGAACCTCAACCCCGCCGAACCCTCTTGCCTCTCCTTCACCGACCACCGGCATATCACCCTGACTCTTTTTTCTTCCTCGCCTATCATACCAGTGCAAATGAGTTTCACCTCTGGTCTTGCTCTTCGCCGTGCAATTGTTGCCAGACCATGGCTGCACAAGATGATGGCTCCTATCGCTGAAAAATACAACGACCTTGCTGGATACCGTAAGCTTGGCCTCGTGTATGATAGCCCCCCTCCCGCTCCACCCGTTACGATCACCAATATTATATCTAGAGCCTAATGCAATACTTTCGCAGCCGGGATGACTTGATCGCCGAGGAAAACGAAATAGTCCAAGAGGCGCTCAAGCGTCTCCCCCCTAAGGTTGCTTACGACCGCGTGTACCGTCTACGAAGGGCGATCCAATGCTCGCTCGCGCATACCATCTTGCCAAAAGAGGAACATACCAAGCCCGAGGGGGTGCGTTATATCCGCCTTTCACACATAAACGGAGGTTGAATGTCACGTCTTGGAGGCTAATCTACTCTTAGGATATATCTTACCTGATGCCCTATATTGAGGAGATTGAGAGGGAGAGGAAGGAGAAGGAGGAATTAGATTCTTTGACTCGTATTAGATAGGTTCGGATGAGGGGTTGGAAAAATAGTGCTATATCAGGATTACGGGCCGATGGGTGGGCCGATTGATGGATGTACACACACATGGGAGCGGGGGTGATTCAGCGGGCAAATGTTTATACCAAGCGAAAAAAAAATGTGTTCCCCTTCCGATTTCTGCTGGCGTAGACTCACCCCTGATATCATATTTGAGGATGACTTGATGACCGATGGTAGTTGAGAAGCGATTGAGGTTTTTTTATCATTTCTATGATATCACAACCCACTTTTATACGTAGTAGTTGTTAACCCGCAGAATCTCCCTACGGCTAGTTGTTAAAACAAGACGCACTCGCATCATTAAATTCTACGGGACCATGAAGCAGCCACCCGACAAAAACTACGCGGTTTTTAAATGAAACCCACCATGTCATTTTTTGTACAAGTTAAATTTACCCAGACAATTCTACAGCTCGAGTGATGTTTTTGCCATCTCCAAGGCACCCTCGAAGGTCTTGTTTCCTCCAATGAACCCGCTAGCGTGCACAAACACACCTCCCGGGATTCCAGAAACCTCGCTGAGAGCATCGTCTCTCGTGCCCCTCCAGGCCTCAGGCAATGGCTTCCTACTCTCAAAGCTATCCTTACTAACGGGCACACACTGAATCCTCCAAGATGACTTTTCAGCTCCCTCGCCGTACAGCACGTATAGAGGCCTTTTGTCTTCCCCTTCTACCCCAACCTCCGCTTCAAGAGTAAACAAATGGTCTTTCCACGGAACGGATTGTGAAAAGACCAATATTCTTCCTTTTTCATCAAACTCAAACCGGCCCTTCATTGCCTCCACCACATGATCTCTTGCCGGAAGCCACGACTTGCCGTAGTAATCCAACTTCTGATCAAAGACAGTGCCCATTAATTTCGATGCTTCCAGAAACTTCTCATCCTCGAGCTCTTGTGTCTTGACTGTACTATTCCACTCAGGATTCAGCAGGCCCACTAAGGACGGTAGACTTATGGACTTGTCGTTGAAGGCTGGCTTGACATCCGATGGATATGCAGAGATCCCATTATCGTTCGCGTCGATCGCCTCGATGAAGTCTTTATAGACCTTATTGTAGAGGAGCGTCACGGACGGGTCATCTATGGGAATGGAAAGACGGTGAGAAATAATCTGGGGCGCAAAGTGTTTGTAGATCAGTCCGGCCGAGGAAAGCTTAGTCTGGAAATCCGGAGAAAAAGTTTCCGAGAATGTGCGCTGGTGATGATCGAAATGTTTGATACCATCGTACTGAGCATGGACCTGAAATTCTGTCAGTTAAACCCAATCCTTCAATCCAACCGAGTGATTGGGGTAGGATCTCGTACATCCACAATAATGTCGCACTCTTCGAGGACCGCAGGATCACGGGAACGGATCAGAGTCGAGCCCTGGTACTCCGGTAAGAGACGCAGCATGTAGACTGCGAGTGCCTCATCGGCCTGGATTCCGCCAGAAATGGTAAGTAGTTGTCACCCCGCTATCTGTTTGCCTCCCGAGGATCAAACATACGTGGAAGTGGCCACTAAGAGGAATTGAAATTAACTATTAGCATATCTAAAATATATCCCGGTATTGAGAGAGGGGGTGGAAATTACTTGTGAGTTCCGATGCGCAGTGGGGTAGCTTTAAGACGTTTTGCTGGTGAAGCCATTTTCGGTAGAGCACGAAGCATGCAATTTCGGACTTATTGGGGGATGGGGGGAAATGGATGGGAAGCTCTTTCGTGAGCGCAAAGCGGGGTATTATATATGTGGGTGAGTCGCGGGATGTTGGATCCGGGTGCCAAAGCTTTGGGACAGATCACGCAAAACTTGGGTGCATGAGAAAGTTGGCAGCCGGGTAATTTCATTGGGCGCAAAGGTTTGGCGTAGCAACAAGGGGCTTGATCTACAGAGTTGCTTTCTAAATAGGGTTAGATAGGATGAAAGAACGAGATGATGGGGAATTGGCAATTAAGAAGGCTATTGAAGGGCGCAAAGTGCTGTCCACAGCCAGCAGTGTTTCTTTTTTCCCCATAAATTCTTCAGCACAGGTTGCCGTCTATGGTGGATATGGCCGGCAGACTTTCCATAGCTGAGTCTGTCGCGATACCAGAACGCTGCTTCTGCCCGGTCCTAACTCTGTCACTTGGCCTAGGTATGAATACCAGTACCGTAATAAGACTCCAGTGGCGGTCTCGGCGTAGTCCGAGGTCACTCTCATATCTCGACCAACTCCATGATTAACTTGCCGCAGAGTTCACTAGTCCATATCACGCTTCTAGGCCCTTCAACCCCACTCAGTTATTTTCTCCATTTCCTCCCATTCTCTGTTGTCCTTTTCGTGAGAGTGAGGAAAAATAGTTTGATACCGACCGCCTGTTTACCCAATCCAATCTTCGAATGCTCTACTCAGAGCATAGCCACATAACCATAACCACTTAAAGTTGAGGAGAGAAGGGTATCTCCTTATGGGGTGGAACACCAGTCATAGTGCTGAGGTATGGATACGGGTTAATACCAGTGCTGCTAGCGAGTTCCCATAATACTACCTAGGATTAACTACGGTACCAATGTAGATTGAACACCAGTAGTGCCCTATGCTTTCAAGTCCAAGGATTGAGACCAGTAAGGTCGCAGATTTCTAACTAGGCACCGGAAGTCGGACTAGATCCGAGCTCTCAAAATAGTCTAAGGATGAAAAGACTGAGGCAGGATAAACCGTAAAAATCTATCCATTCCTTATGCGCCACAAGGGAAGGAAAGTAGGGAAAAGACTCACAGAGGCCAGAACTTCGAAAGGTTGGTGCAAATACTGTACATATCGAATTATTTATCCACAAAAAAACTACCTCCAACTCCGCATATATTCAATCAGAAAAGTAATATCGTTGTCTCAGCATGATTACTGCCACCTTATCAGCCCTTACTTAAGGTGATCTGACAGGCAATAGCAAACGATCAGTGCTTGACTCTTTGATTAACATTCATCATATTGAACATCCGTCCACCAATCCCCCAACCCGTCCCACCATCCCCCTCTGCCACTACCGGGAGAGGAAAAAAACAAAACAAAGTCCGACCCCGACGAAGGGGTATCTCCCCAAGAGGCGCTTTTCCATAAGCTACGAACTCAAAAAGTGATCCCACCCCC